ATATACTTTTCCACCTCTTTTTTTTCCTATTTGTCTGCCTTTTCCCAATAAGCTTAAATCAACTTCAGGTTTACCACTTAACCAAGGTGGAGTATCAGGAATATTCACCACAGGACTAATTAAATAATGATTMATTCCTAACCTACTTATCTCATCTATAATCCATCCAAAACTATTAATTCTCTAATTCTTTACTTTTTCTTGACAAGGTTGTAGCATAGCATTTGGAGGATAATTTTCTTTGTCCTTTAACATTTGCCCAYTAGTTTATGGCTAGTTGTTTTCTTCTGAGCTCTAGTGGCATCTCACCCATTTCAACTTGTAAAGCTGATCCAGCGAAGATCTGACAGTCAGGATGCCTTATAAAGCCCCAGTGGCTCATTAGGAGAATCTTCCTCAGGTGTGCAATGGTGCAGGAAACAATGAGGCAGCCAATCATCAAACATGAACACCAAAAACCCAATCACAACAATATCCTGAATTTAGAAATCTGACTTTTGTGCAATAGGCCTCTGGTTGTCCAAAACAAAAATAAGTTGTCTTGAACAACCTAAAAGCCCTGATGTTGATCCCTGTGTGCTTGTTTTCACCTGTAGGTTCATGACTTACAGCAAATATTACACTGCTACATCATTAGACTCATAACAGCTTAAATCTCTTTTACTGCAAACATTCTGATTGGTTACAGAGCAAAGACAAAGATCAATAACAAACAGCTGAATTGACCCAGAGGGTACTTTATTAATCCCACCGGGCAATTAAAGTGGGCAATAAGAACCTCTATAGAGCCGTTGTGCTGCATGTGTTAGAACTCACCACAGCCACTCTCATAAAATCATCCTCAGCACTAATTTTACATTTCCACAGGAGTAAACAAAGGATTACGTACCTCCGCCTGGTGCTGTTTTTATTAGAATTATGTAACAATAATGGAACACAGATACTTTTTCTTGTAACAAAAACAAAGAGAAAATTAAAGAAACTGAATGTGTGCATCATTTTCTGGCTTGCTGCTTGATTGGTCTGAAGTCACCTTGCGCTTGTACTGCCTTTTTAGATACAGATAATGCAGTAATATATGCATGTGACAACACATAAAGATATTGCTGGATTATGTGCAGCCAACATCTGACTCCTTCAGAACTTGTGAATATCTCAGAACTAAAAAACTGCATGTTGCTTTTGGGTTTTGTTTTGTTTTTTTGCACCATCCAACAGAGTATCCAAAGCCAAAAGTTTATGTAAATAGAAAGAGACTTGATGTGGTGAGACAGTTTTAATATATGTGTGTTATCTTTCATCCAAATCTTACTTTTAGGTGGTATATTAAAAAGAACAACTAGTGGGATTTAGTAGCTCTGTTGTAAGTGAAGTGGGCTTTAAGTTTGAGCCCAGAAAGGGACGAATCCCTGCAGAAGATAATAGATAAATTAAAAAAAAACAAGATTATTTGATGGCTGCATTTTGCAGCCACAAAATAAGTATGTCAAAAAACAAAAGTGCAGCTACAACAAAGACGGGGTGAAGTCATTAAAGGGGACCTAATATGTAAAATTCACTTTTTTTCAGGTTTTTTTTTTACTTACATTTGGGTCTGTGCCGCTTCTAAAAACAGTCCAAGCACCAAAAATTCACTCAGAGGTATTTAAAAATAAATGTATTTTTCTGTGTCTTGAAATGACCTGCTGTCAAACACCGCTACTTGTGACATCACAAGTTGCACTCCAGCCKACCCCAACCTGAGCCCAGCTTGTCTCCTGGTAACCCAAGCAGAGACTCCGCCCACAATCCTCTTCTTTTCCTCAGAAAGAAATTTACCAAAGTTACATTGTTTTTTAATGAAGGGGAACACAATGTGAAGCCACACTGTAAAAGTGATTCACACATCCACAGCTCAGAAAACTGCCTGTCACTCTATAGTCAGACAGATAACAGCATTTTGGCCCGATCTAAACTACGTCACACAGCAACCTTGTAGTTTGTTAAAAAAATATTGAAGCACAAAGAGGATGTGTAAGTTAATTCAGTTTGTTTTATGACTGATAGACTCCATGTTTTTCACTGTGGGTGAGCAGAAGGCAGCTTCTACCACAGCAACGATCAACAATGCTATGGCTAACTCCAGAATCTTTGCAGGGCTTTTCTACTGAGTGGCTTTTATACTGAGCACAGTACTGTGTAACGTCACACAGTACCAGCAGCATCATACAGTACATTTTGAACAAATAACAAAATTCAAATGTAGTAGCCATAACCCAAATAGAGCAGCACAAAGATATTTTTAGACCAAATATTGTAGATTTAAACCATTTTAGACAAAAAGGTTAAATTTTGGTGATAAATAGAAAGGTATTACCCTTAGGGCACAATTTAGACAATTTATCTGCCAGAACCTCCTCAAGGCCAACCGATAGTCCTTCTCCATGACCTCCTTGACTTCCTCCAATTCCCGAGCTTTTGCATCCGCAACCAACAAAACTGCAACCTCTTTGCCACCATGTACCCATTAGCTACTTTAGAAGTCCTCTGGGAAAGCCAAATCTGGAAGGCCTTCATCTTCAGCCTGATGGCCTCCATCACTTTATGTTTATGTCCATGTTCATTATATACCTATAACTTGGATATGTTTCAGTAAACAGGTAAAAACGTARGCCATTTCCGCCTTTTGGCCGTACGTTCACTTTTAGTATGGTTTCCATGCAATCCTTTATAAATGAGACCCRTGGTYATTACCTCCCTGGCTTTATAAGAGTGCTGTCTGGAGGATCAGTTTGTTGCTGATTTGGACATACACGATTAAATAGCTCTCTCTTCTTAATAGAGAAACATGATACTGGTAAATGTGATTGTGGAGAAGGTGAAACAGTAGTACACATTCTGGTAAATTGTCAGAAGTACAGAAATGAAAGAGCTCAATTGATTAATAGGCTTGATGAAATTTTTTGTTAGTAAGAGTCGTTTCAGTCCTCACTCCATCCCAGTTGGTGGTGGTAGTGCACACCTAAAGTTTTTTGCAAACCGCCAATAAACTCGAAGAAGAAGTTCGTTGCTGAAGCATTGCTTGCTCTTGGGTAAAGCAATCTCAGCCCCTCAATGTTTTTGATACCTGAGTTATACTTATTTGTGTTTTCTCCTGTGCTCAGAAATCTCTCCCTGAGTTACTCCTGGATGATCTGAGGACCTGAAGGGAAAAGGATTTCCCTTGACTATCTTTTTTGCTGCTTCCTGTCTGCCTCTAATCAGTCCTGTTGGGACAAATCTTTACAACTGCTAACCTTCACTTGGACCTTTAAACTCTCTTGCAATGGTGGGCACCAGCCCGCTAAAGTGCAAATCCGCTAATTGCGGACCTAAATATTTCCTTTGCGCTCTAGCGGTCTTACTAATTTTATAATTCATAAGCAGATTTGTGCTTTCTATAATTAAAATGCAGCACCGCTAATGATTAATTATCTACCAGTCATCATTATSTTGAACAGCAGAAGGTATGYCTGTCAATGAATCACAACACACGTGATCAATCCAACAGCACCCCTCCCAGATAAACACACTTATTGAGAAGGTATAAATCCACGCTGACTGTTGCTTT